GTTGGTTTTTAAAGTTGGACTTATAGGTTGTCTTGGGTGGCATTAGAACGAAAAAAAAAAACACCCTATAAAAAATGAAAATAGATAAATATCTGTCATTTGTGCTATAATTAAGCTTTCTGTTGAACATGAGTAAACATACCTCTCCTGCTAAGAATGGGGAGATTATTTTACCTATTTTTTGTGGGTTTATGCAAGCAGGACATTTCATCCCATCTTGACATCAGCTAGTTCTGGCAAGGGGATGACCTTGCCCGGGGAGGCATCTATATGAAAACCAACACTGGTTCTAAGTCTAAATTTGGCTGCATTCTATCCTTAGAAAATATATTGTTAGTGTCAAAATATTATGGAAAATTCCTTTTGGATTCTGTTGGTGCTTTAATCAATCCCATTTCCAGCAGGACATTTACACAAAGGGCATTTTAATAATAGTTGATCAACTGATAAATACTTAATCAATATCCAACCACAATGACATACTGTCATCAATGAACAACTGAACAAATTGTTCTTCACACACAGCAACATTTTTCCATGAATGAATAGTTCTGGCTGCTTTACTAAAGCAAAAGGGTATTTTCTAAACTGTATTAAGTTATTCTGACAAAATGAAATATGGTGAATATCAAATTACTTTTGAACTTGTAACTATAGAATTTAAACATTTGAAATATTAGTTTTTTACACTTTAATTATCATACAATGAGCATCTTCTGTGAATATTGTTTGGGATGCAAGATATCTTGGCTTTAATATTTGTTTTGGTAATTTTCAAGCATATCTGTATCATCTGATAGGTAAAACTGGGCCGATATTAACACCCACTGTTTATTTTCATGTACTAGCTGTTTTGTTTCTTATGCAGCTCAGGGTTTGTTATGATGTCCAGAGATTAGGGAAACATATATTAAATGATATTGGTAGATATGAGATATCGTCTAAAATTATCGTCTATTTGCCCAGATTTTCCTGTTGGTGTATTCGTAAATATTCCGAAACTGGAATTTCTTGTCCATGTTTTTGCTCACATGTATAGGCTATTCTCTTAGCAGACACCAGCAAGCTTCTTTATTGCAGAATCGGTAATGTTCATTTATATTACTTGTTTTCCTGCTCTTTAATTTGACTTTTGTGCTATATTCTCTTTGGAATTTGCCACGGGACCTTTCTTTTCCTTTAATAGGAAAGAAAACCGATTTGTTCTTACAGTAAACATGCATCAAAAGGCTTCATGAACTGTAAGCTGCACTAGAAACTGCTCTTTCAACTAGACAATCCAAGATTCCTCAGGAAAATTATGCTACTCTTGAATCACATAATACACTTTCAAGCTTCTTAGTGATAGTTCCATACTGTGGGTCTATTTTGCTGAACGATGTAAGAAATTCATAATAAATTATTTACTATTTGTTTGAGACTTAAACATTTGTGAGTTCTAGCAGGACAATGATCCCAAATGCCTGTCAGAACTTTTTTTGGATAAATGATTCAAGCTAGACTTTACATATATATACAGTTAAGGGTTAGGGTTATTCATCATTATTTATCCATCGCTTTATCCCAAGGGGTGCTGGTGCCTATCTCCAGTTGTCTACATGCAAAAGGCGGGGTACACCCTGGATAGGTCGCCAGCCTTATCGCAGGGCAACACAGAAACAAACAACCATTTATGCACACACTCACATCTAAGGAGAATCTAAACAAGCCAATCATCCTAACAGTCATGGAGAGTACCCGGAGAGAACCCACGCATGCACAGAGAGAACATGCAAACTCCATGCAGAAAGACCCCGGGCCGAGAAGACCCCGGAACCTTCTTGCTGCAAGGCAGCAGTGCTACACACTGCACCACTGAGCAACCCTTGTTGCAAAGTCTATGCCAGGAAATCATAAATTCACATTAATTATACAACATCTGGCAGGCACAGATCTTAATTCTGTTAGAGGAGTCTGGCCTGTAGACTGTTGCCTGGTACTAATGCACACTTGAGCTAATATCAGTGGGATTGAGGATTAAAAAACAAAAAGCCCTTTTCTAACAGGAATATATCTGGCATGTTAGCGAGTCATGAGATTGTTGGATTCATCCCATGAAGGCGTAGTGCCAGGATACATGGGAGTCAAACCAGGTCAATGTTTGCAGCATACTTTATGCAACAAATTTAAGACCTGTTATATAATATGCCAAGAAAACCTACCAGTGGGCTCAAATAAAAACAGAATAAAGGAACACATGATCAGCTCTCTATTATCACAATAGAAAGCAGCAGGAAAATGATTGCTCAGACACCAGCATATTAAAAGCGAGATGCCTCTGTGACATGAGCGAACTCTGATCTCATAAGAGAAAAGATAAAACTGGAGGCATTAGGAAGTGTTTCAGGTCTTTATTGAGAAACTGATTGTCACAGGCAATTAGAGGAAGCAGACTAGAGAAAAAAAAAAGCAGAGACAATGCGAAAATGAGAGCTGAAACAGATTTTTACACATATTACAGTGCATTAGAAATTGTACTTTCACTAAATGACACAAACATATTTTTCTTCCGCTTTCTGTCTATTAATTTGACAAGCGGTTTGGCACACAGGTACTGTAATGGCTAAAACAGCCACCAGAGGGCTCCTACTGTACTTCTGCAGCAAAACAATGAGAGAAAAAAGTGACATTTTGAAAATCAACTGTACAACTAGCTAGCTGTGGGGCAAGAGCACCTACAGCATGTTTATTAGTCCATGCACCTAAATTTAGTCCATGCAGAGGATTTGACAAGAAAAAAAGGCTAGTTAGAAAAAAAGACAGTGTGTTTGTTTTTTAGCACTAAGTGTCTTTTTTTTTGTATCTAGTGCTGAAGTAAAACCCTGATCTATGCAGGGGTCAGTGCACAGAAATTAAAATCAAGGGGTAAAATATGAGCACCAAATCTTCTTTATCCAGAATGCAGAGGCCATTTGACATCAGGAAAAAAAAAAAATAATTATTTTTATTTACTCTATCAGCCTATATGACCAGAAACTACAGAGGGGGGAAAACTAATAAAAATATTTTTATTTAAATATATTCTGTGTTAGAGTTCTTTGTATGAAACAAGTTAACTATTTCGGTGTTATACATTTAATTGAATTTTTTTTTTTTTTACCTGTTTTGGTTAAAAAAAAAAAAAAAGAACCCAAAAACGTTTAGATGTTCATACAGAGTACTCTACACATTTTCTGGCTTCTCTTATAAAGATGTGTAAAAGGCTTTGAATAAATAAAGCTTTATACACATTTCTGTTCAAAGTCCTGTTTGACAGCAGGTCAGAATTTTCTCATATTAATCATCCTAAGGTTTGGGCACAAAAAA